TTTTCTCTGAAAACCAAGCTTCTCTTTTTTCCCCCCTCCATGTCCACTTTCAAGCCAATCTTAAAACCTGTCTCTGAAATTCTACCCTCAGTTTCTCCACAGACCATATCAAAATCCATGATTTTGGCCCTAAAACCTTCCTTCAACTTATATATGAGGTCGACTTGTACACAAGTATATACAGTAGCTCAATTAACAAAGTAAATGTGTTCTTCTTTAACAGGAAATTAATACCAGAGAGAGAAATAACATGTAAACTAGCAAAAAAAAAAAATCAGTTCAACAAGTTTCTGGGGGAAAGACATCAAAATTAACAATATGTATATGTGAAATGAAAAAAATAAAACAGATTAGGTCACCTTTGCATATGTGAACAAAAACATTTTGAACCTTCTAAGGACCGCTTCTTGTTTCTGGAACCTGCCTTAGGTCCCACCTTGGAAGAAAGGCAGCACATAAATGAAACGATGATAATAATAATAATAATAATAATAATAGAAACAGCAACAGCAACAGCAATGCTTCTTCTTGAAGACTTCTATGAAAATCCATCAAGCACAAGGCATCTATCTTTCACCATCTTCCCCTTTTCTTATGATTTCTATATTGGCAGCCAAATGTATAGAGCTATGCATTTTTAATATTCTAGGGGTTATCTGCTGGTACAGGCTTATCTGCTGTTTCCTTTTCTCTCTGGGATGATTTACACTTACTTTTTTGAATGAAAAGATTCACATCTCCACACTGATCCAGAACCAATTCAGAATCGGTTCGGTGTTCCTACTACATTTACCATGATCAAATCTCTCCATGCCATTTTAACCCTGTTGCCATTCACATTTGCCACCGTATCAATTTAAAAAGGAGGCACCTCCATTTCCGGGAATGATGCAGCATGATCTGAATCAATTTGGTAGCGTACTCACATTGCTGAAGATGCAGATCATTGTGGCTCTTTAAAAAAGAGACACTAAGGGGTCAGGTGCCAAATGTACCAGTTTAAGTGGGCTTTTTGGCTGCCGTTCCCACAATCTGCATCAATTGCAGTTGGGGGGAGTGTGAAGATCATGGAAATAAACCAGTTCCAAATCAGTTATTTCCTTAGTGTGAATAGGCCCTCTGTTTTGCTGTTCACACATACTCAGTAAGGGAGGGAGGTGGTGTGTAACTTGCCTGTCATAGGAAGGACCAAATGGCTAGGATAAGATCAGCTAGAATAATATAGCTCTTCCTCTCTCTTTCTCAGCATATTTTTTATTGCATTGTTTACCAGACACACTGCTGCAATCTAGCACCAAAGATCTGTGTTTCTCCAGCACACCTTTGCCACTGTCCTAATGCCAATGCTGCTTTAAAAAAAAAAATCCTCCCCAGCTACACAAAGGACAAGGAGGGGAAGCGGGGCTGGGCAGGCATAAAAGACATGGTAAAAAGGAGATTTTTGTCAGAGGCTTTGTTAACTGAAGTATGCCTGTACCCTGCAATGCCTTTAAGGAAAGACAGATTGGCACATAGCCAAGCTGTTGGTTTTCTTTATCTTAAAGGTCAGGGTTCTGTCCTTTGCCACCACCATCCTCATACTCATAAAAAGGGATTGAGTGTTAAGGTAATTCATTCTGGGTCAGGAGTCTCCTTGCTACTTCTGTCTCTGACAAACAACTCTGATCCCTTGGAAGAAGCATTCTGCCTCTTGGGACCCTTTCATACTACATAATTATAGTCCTATGAAATTTTCAATTGAACTGTCTCATCTCCATCCTATGGAATCCTGGGGCTTGTAGTTTTCAAGGCACTAAAGCCCTCTGGCTGAAATTTCTAAATGCCCCTCCCTAAACTGAACCTCCCAAGGTTCCACAGGATGTTGCCATGGCAGTTAAAGTGGGATCACAGAACTACAAATGTGTAGTGTACAAAAGCCCCTGAGTTGGGGCTCTGATACTGAAACATTGCTAAAATTACAGGCTGATCTTTGTCTGGCTCCATTTAAGCTGAACCAACTGAACCTTGAAATGGTAGCTTAAAAGAAATCTCTCCCTCTCTGAGTTCTCTCCCTCATGCAGGATTTAGCCAGAGAATTTCATTAGTTTAACCTCTCTATTAAAATTCCAGCTGTAGCCCTGAAGATTTTGGTTCCTTTGCCTCTCAGATCCCTCCCTCTCTCTGACTTTCTACTGATCTAATCAGAATTTAAAACCTCCCTAGCACCTCTTCAGGAAAGGTGACCTCACTCACCCTGAAATATACTTTTCAGGAAGTACCTACTCCCTTGCTGGTGTGTGTGTGAGTTTGTGGTTTTATTGCCTGCACGTTTGAGCCTTGCTTGAATATGAAAGCCATATTTAAATATTTGAAGGGATGTCATGTTGGGGTTGGAGCAAGCTTATTTTTCTGCTGCTCCAGAGACTAGAATGTGAAGCAATGGATTCATGCTACAGTAAAAGAAATTCCACCTAAACATCAGGAAGATCTTCCTAACAGAGCTGTTTGACATGCTGCCTATAAAGGTGAGGAGTCTCCTTCTTTGAGGTATTTAAACAGAGGCTAGATGGCCATCTGTTAAGAGTGCTGTGATTGTGTATTCTTGCATGGCAGGGGGTTGGAGGGATGGCCCTTGTGCTCCCTTCCAACTCTATGGTTATATGAAGTCTATGATTCTACCTTTTTCTCTTTCTTCCTCCTCCTCTCAGCAACTCCTGAAACTCAGATTGCTTAATCCCAGACAGTATCATCTCTTGAAACTGGAATTCCACCAGACTATACACCCTCCAACTTTGGTCCGAAACACACGTGTTGACACTGGGCCATCCAGAAAGAACTGGGACGAGAAGGAGTGGATAGGGACTGCCATGGCAGGGGGTTAGACTGGATGGCCCTAGTGGTCTCTTCCAACTTTGTGATTCTATCATTCTAGGTTCCTTGGGGTTCCTCGGGGTTTTGTCCTGGGTCCTGTGTTGTCTCATATCTTTATACATTACTTAGAGCAGGGGTAGGCAACCTTTCCCCTTTAAGGGCTGAGAGACTTCAGCTCCCAGAATCCCAGGAGTATTGGCCAATATGAGACTATTGGCCAACATGGCTGAGGCTTCTGGGAGCTGAAGTCCCTCAGCCCTTAAAGGGGAAAGGTTGCCTACCCCTGACTTAGAGGATGGAATAAATGGCATGACTATCAATTAATGACACCAAATTAAGGGGGGTAGCTAAAACTCCAGAGGACAGGATCAGAATTCAAATGATCTTGACAGATTGAAAAGCTAGGCCAAAACTAACAAAATGAATTTCAAATGGGATAAATATAAGATACTACATTTTGAGGCCCCACTGTACATGCATACAGTTTTAGGCAGAAAAAATGAAATGCATAATATAGGATGGGTAACAGCTGCCTAAAAAGCAATCAATATGAAAAAGGATCTAGGGATGGGTCAACAGTGTGATGTAGAAGCCAAAAAATCCAATGCAAATCTGGTTTGCATCGACAGGATGTTTAGCCTGGAGAAGAGAAGGCTGAGAGGTAATATGATAGCCG